GGGGGGGGGGGGGGGGGGGGGGGGGGGGGGGGGGGGGGGGGCACTCTGGGAAAAAAGTACCAGGGATGCTTATCATATCTCTTAGGGGTAAAAAATCGCAATTTGGTATCTTTTGAAAATCAGCATTTTCTGGTATCTCTTAGGGTGTCGGAAAAGGAGAGAAGCGTGCATCGATGTGGCTTATCCTAGGTGCTTTTTATATAAAATTTAATATTATTTGTTGTGGTATCTCTTARGGGTTAAGAATCATTCAGGCATGCCCTTTTTTGGAGACTTCCGGTATCTTTTAGGGGTCTTTTTGAAAATTTCCAACGAGTATCGAGCGGAAACAGTAAGTTCACCAAATATTCCCCACCAAATTTATTACTCCTTCTTTACAACAATGTAGGAGTGTTATATTTGCAGCAAAACTATAACCTGTATTGTGCAGCAGTAAAAGAAGGGGACATTGTCTGGACTATATGGAATCAAGCCTAAGAATTTAAATTGGAGATTTGGGGCCAGCTGAAATTTGCTTATAGTTCTCCTGCATGCTATCTAAAAACATGGCAAAATCAAGGTAAGAAATTGTTAAAAATCAAGTTTAATAACTAACCTGAACCCCAAAGCCTTCTGTTAGACCCCAAAATGCCTTGCAGAACTCCATATTAGTTTTGTGTGTCAGCTTAACAATCATCTTTGCTCTCATTTCAGGGTTGACTGTGTATTTACCACTGCTTAAAACTGCAGTGGTCATACATGCTAATGGACTTGCCTTGTGCCGATGATATCCTTCAGCGAAGGATGCCATTGCCACGCATACCATTTGAAGGAATTGTCGCAGACCTGGTCGAAACTGAAAATAGCTATATGTTACTTTTAACTGTTAAAAAGTTTTTTTWAATTTGATACCACCCCACACAATGCTAACCACGTACGTATACCATCTCCCCTACAGGCTTGAGAACCTCTATGCTATTCCCTACCCTTACTTTACCAGGGCTAACTTTGGATTGGTTTTATGATATATTATTATCCAGTATTTCAGTATTCTTGGGACAATGGTTAGGGTTGGGATGCAAGGGTGCAGTATTCAWATCTCCTGAAATTTATATATTTTTCTAAGTGAGGGAAACCAATGTCCCCTCTTGGGTATTCAGAAACCAATGACATAACTTGGTAAATCATACACAATGATCCTAACCCCTTATAGGGCCTGCACCATCTTGGTCGATAAGAACAAAAATTCCTCATTACCTTTTTTCGTTAGATCAACCAACATGGTTACACCCTAAGTGTACCCTATACTGGCTGTTTGCCGCTGTTGTGCACATTTTTGTTACATAAAATTACTTAAAATATTATGAGGCACAAACTGATAACATACACTCTAAGCATGCATTCTGACACTTTGGAAAAATTCACACTCTTAATCCATCATTGTTCCCAATCAATGAATTATGAATATTAACTACACAAATTCTTAACCTGTAATACTCTTTTAAATTGACTTTGTCTGCCCAACTAAAGTTGTCGTTATATAAAAGACAATAACCAATCTTCTAACTTACCTGAAAACCCAGAGCACGACCATAGAAACACTCTCTATCCATCATTTCAGCCTCAATCAAGATTTTTGAATCAATAGACTCAGGGAAAAGCTGCCCATCTTTACTTTCCTCCATACATGTCAAAGCATAGTTCAGTAAATCTTTCGTCCCTAACAACAAATCTGTATGGGCTTCGATCTCTAAACAATAATGATGGGACCTAAAATAAAACCGATTTCTGTGTTTCTGGCAGTAGAAAGTCAGTTCTGTCAAAGCCCTTATGCATTGTTCCAATAATCTAAGCAAGCTTCGGTATCCATTGCCCTTCACTTCGGAACTATAGTCAAAACTCGTCACTCTTTGAGCAATAAAAACCGCTATTTCTTGAATAGATGGTAAGGTTTCATTTATCCTTTCAAATGCATCGAGGAATCGTTTACACACTGATTTGCTCGGATACTTCTGGAAATAATTTATATTGTCGTCTATGATATTTTTTAGGTGTCGAAAAAGTATAGGAAATGAGATGAAATCTTCTGCAGGTGGGCAAATACATCCATCATCTTGTCCACTTTCTTGCCCTGCAGTCATACTCATGTTAGCTCAAAATTCTCTCCAGTCGCTTCAAAACCGCCAAGTCCTGCTTGTCCAAGAAGCTTTAGAGGTACTAAACATCAGGACTGTAGATCCTAAGAGCCAAGGTCCTGATAAATAAGCCAGGGTTTACAAAATTACACGAGTTCTAGTATGAAACCCGAACAAATTCTGATCATGTCTAAGTTTACAAGCCAATTTTTTGTGCAAATCTAATCAGTAGCAATCTTTACCACTAAGTAAATTTCGCCGCAGACGTATACACTTCCCTCGTAACATGTTTGATCTTCAATCAAGGATATATTTGTACAATTAATACCTTTTTTTCTCCAAGGTTTTGGACTCTTCTAGTACCTAATTTTTTCGATTTGATAATAAACAGAGCGCAGAGGATCGCGGGCGCATGCAGTCTTTCAACATCATACTCGCGGTGGCGTGATTGGACCCAGCCTAGAATTTCATGAATAATTTTACATTCATCAAAATCGTAGATTCCTTATTTTGTTACGCAATCGTCTTCAACCGACTTTTCTTAAGTAGCAAGTTTAAAATTTCAAATTTTTTGGGGTATTTTTGAGTGCAGTGTTATAATAATAAAAATCACGACATATTTTGTGGTGACGATCTTTGAACTTGTGCCGGGAGCGGAAAGGGCGAAATTTCTCTTTCGCAATAGCCGACCTGAGCTCTTGGCTCTGAGAACCAACRTGTTGTAATACAATCTCTGGAATTTGATTAAATGATTATGAATAATGGTTAAAGAAAGGTTAAAATGGTTTGCGCAAGTCCGCTACCGCTGAATTCCAATGAAAATTTGGGCATATCTTACCAAATATTAATAAGCTTTAAGAGTAATCAGTCAAACAAGCAAAAAGCAATAGGGGAATTCGAAACTACCCTTAAGAAAGTAAGGGACTGAGCCGCGAGTCCCCCCCCCCTCCCCCCAAAAATATCAACCCTTGTGTTTGAGTAAGTGAAGCAAGGAAGGAAAATGGGAAAAATGGAAAGGATATAGATGAAAATAAATGGAAGAAAGGGAGAGGAGAAAATTACTTTTCTTTTTCCTCATTTCTCTTATTGTCTTGGCAATCAGGGGTGGCGTAGCAGAAGAACATTTGCCTCTTACCTATCGGGTCCGAGTTAATCAGTCTTCCTATACCCTCAAATTAGCCGCCTAATAGCATCTGTGAGTTAGCCGTGCCCTGACTTAGATCAGCCCAGAGGTTGTTTCAGGGTTTGATCTGTGAGTTAGCCATGCCCTGACTTAGATCAGCCCAG